GATTGGAAAGATTTTTTTGATGTTAACTTTCTTCCAGCAAATGAGAACTGGGCCAATAATTTATCATCAAACAGTTGTATCATCATTTTCTTTACTGAAGAGTTTACATTTTTCCCACCAATATTGTTGGATAGATCATGAACCTAAGTGAATTTATAAAATGTAGTTCATATATATAATAGTCCAAAAAAGATAATTTAAATAAAATATTAACATATTTGTTAAGCACAATATAATACATATATTATCACTCACAATTTTTTTGCGATATTCAGTGTCTAATAATATTTGTTCTTCTATTTTATTGAGATCGTCTAGACATTCTATGGGGTACAAATCAGCCATAGGGTTGTAATCGATAAGTGAATTATCTCCATTCGAAAAATTTGTTTGTTGGCTTGATCTTCAAGCATTTTGATAATAACATCCTGTTTTTCTTCAATTGTTCTCAGTTTGAATTTGAAAATTAATTGGTTTCTCATTATTGTTTTAAGAATATCATCTGCAAAATAAGACCAATTTACAGTTGAATATAATATATATAAATACAATATTATACCAGCTTACATAATAAATAATATCGATCACTATTCAACAATAGTACAATAATATCAGTTAAAAAAAATCGAGTTTTATTTCATATTTTATTGTAATCATTTAACAATGAAAATGTAGAGTAAAATATCTTTATAACAGATCCTTTTCTTAAAGATTCAATCAGTTCAGATCACTTGAGTAATTCTATTATGGGAAAATATTGTAATATATGCTTGAAGTTAAGTACACGTACGTGCCCAGCAATATGACTAAACAAAAAAAACTACCTGCTGTATAAGTCTTTATTAATATTTAGGCATTAAGTTTATATTTTAAGACATTGTGTGATGATTTTATATTTCTATCAGTAATTTTGAAATAAATCAAAATCAATAACTTAAAATTAAACAATTTTATTAATAATACTAATATACCTATAACTACAAAGAAATCACAATTTAAAAACGGAATACAACTTGATTTATATGGTCTATGTATTATCTATAACAATAAATTGAATTGATAGATAAATTGAAAATTAAAAATATACCTAATATAATATTTACCAAAGTTTAGAAATAAGCAAAAGTAGTGAACTATAATAATTTAATATTAAGAGGCCGTCACACCCGTATGTACACCAGCATAATGAACGATATATTAGGTATAATGGAAAAAACGCAAGTTTGTAAGACGGAGACAACACATGCGGGTGTGACATCATCTTAATGATAATAATATTACTAATATTAGTACCATTTAAAGCTGTTGAATGAACTTTTTTCTTGAATAATGCCTGACTTTTGATTTTTTTAATGGAAGAATTCTTTTGATTGAATTTAGGAGATCTTGTTGAATTCACACGAACAGGAGTCAAACATAAAGAATCAATAGCTGAAAAAAAAAAGTTTTTACTTAGAAAATAAACAATACTTAATATACACAATAATACCCACAGTTTGGTAATTTGTATAGGTACTAATTTTAATATTGTATTATAATATATATAATACAATTTTAATTAATTATTCACACACGCATAACACATAGGTACCATTTAAAGGTATTTATTTAAATACTACCAAGTAATATAAACATATAAAATACTCACAAAATAAATCAGGTGACACTTGTTCATCAACTTTTTCAATATTATGACGGTCAGTATTCAATGGTGCACCCAATTTTTTTTCAGTATTGATTGAGCTGTCTAATAAAGCTATTGGGAAATATACAAATTACAATTATACAATTTTTTGAAAATGGTATTTAAATAAAATATAAATATATATATATAAGTATATTATATGTAGGTCATTTTAATAGGTACCTACTAATTTTAATATTATATTATAATATATATAATACAATTTTAATTAATTATTCACACACCCTTGACACATAGGTACCATTTAAAGGTATTTATTTAAATACTACCAAATAATATTAACATATAAAATACTCACAAAATAAATTAGGTGACATCACTTGTTCATCTTTTTCAATATTATGACGGTCAGTATTCGATGGTGCACTCATTTTTTTTTCAGAGTTGTCTAATAAAGATAATGGGAAATATACAAATTACAATTATACAATTTTTTATAGATGGTATTTTAATCAAATACAAGTATGATATAAACATATATTATATATATTAATATATTATATGTAAGTACTTCTGAATGTTTCAGCCATCCAGTATCTAATAATAGTTTTTTTGGCCCAGTATTAAGAACAAATAAAACATAGAACATTTGTGATAAATGTGAATTTATCTATTATCAAATATAAAGGCTATAATATTTAAAGCAATTCATAGGCTTTTATTAATATTTTGCATACCTACCTATCTATTATTAGTTCCTTGACATTATTTTGTATTATATAATGCTGGGCTGCATAAAAATTAGGTATAGGTAGTGAATTTAATTAATTATTATAGTTTATTAGATAAAATATAGCCAATATGCAGTGCCGTAACTAGGCTACTTGAGGCCTGTGTGCAAACCAAAATATTGAGGCCCCTTATTATCTTTTTCAATACACACTTCAAAAAATGTTTTTGCAATTTTTAAAGTCAGCAGACAAAATAATCGGTCAACACTTCTGCCGATTTTTTTATTGTATTCAGAAGGGCCAGTTCTATAGACCATAAAAAAATTATGTTGGAAAATGGTTAAACCCTCATAATAAATCGTTTCAAATGTTGGCCTTATGCATGTTGTTGTACAATAAATTAATTAACAATACAATCCAGCCTAATTAAAAATATAATTTATTGTGATTTAAATAGGTAAGTTGGGAATTTTAATCTTGAAGTGGTTGAAAAATTGCAATATTTTATGGATATGGCAGGGCTTGCAAACGTTATAATAACATTATGATTATTGATTATAACGTTTTATTATTTTCAAAAAACGATACATGTTTGTAAACGTAATTATAACGGAATGCGATAATTAAAAATAATTAAATACAGCATAGCAAAACATAACGATTAACAAAATAAATTATATATCATCAAACAAAACATAACGCAAAACGAAATATTTTAAAACTTATTAATTATTTAAATTTAAAAGGTCTATTTGTTTCGTAGAAACATTTATTTCATGCAAACAATCTAAGAATTGATAATATTATATCCGTATCCGGGCCATTACCTATCGGCATGAGTTATTGTTTTTAAATTTAAGGGGCCTTTTTTTTGCTCAAAAACATACCTTACAGGAAAAACTCTCACGCCTCGTAGATTGGTCCGATTTCCGTAATTTCTTTTTTTTTTTTGTTAAATAGAGGAAGACTTATTGCAGGGCGCATTGGACTTGGATTTTCAAAATTATTTTTCGAAATCTTATATTACAAGTTTGAATTTAATCCATTTTTAGAACTTTTTAGTTTTTGTATTATTATTTGTTTTTAGCAATGTAATCAAAAATCGAAGTCCAATGCGCCCTGTAAAAATATTCTTCTATCTAACAAAGAAATATATTAGGGGAAATCAGACTAATCTACGAGGTGTGAGAGTTTTTCCTGTAGAGTGTGTTTTGATCGATATAATACACCCTATCAACCTCCCCTAAATAGGTATTGGGTAGTTGATTAGTGGAAAAGTCTTATAATTGAGGTGGCAACTAAAATATAAAATTTAATTTTCAAATTTTATAGAATTGCGGAAAATTTGAAAAGTCGCGACCAGGACCCTTGTAAGATAAATAGCTTGAGTCGCGTGATTAGGGAAGATACCCAGTGGTATCACCCTATATATTAATATACCTGTTAGGTATAATACAGAATTAAACATTTTAATAGTAACAGATTATTGTTATCTTATATTTACTATCTCCAAGTGGAGTGTAAATGTGAGATAAATTATAATGAGCAATAAGTGGTATGACGGAGATAATTATGGAGAAAAAGTACCTTTAGAAATCAGTGAATTAAGTACAGAGGAGAAGAGGGAGATGAGGGGATTGATTAGTGAGCTCAAATTAGAAATGAAACTTGATAAAATTTCGTTGGTCGGAATGTGGACTTTGATTTCTGGTGGCTTCTGCGTATGATTTGTGTGTGGTTTGATGAGGATTGGAGATCGGGCCTTTCCGAGGGACTCTCGGATAGACTTTTTTGAAAGCGGCCTTGAATACCGAACAGCCCTTGTAGTTGGTGGTGTGGTCCTTGGAGCACAAGGCGCATTTAGCAGGACTACTGCGGTCTTTGGTGCAGTCCTCCATGTGATGATCTTCCCCACATTTGACGCATCTTGAAGGGTGATGACAATTTTTTTTCGTGTGTCCGTAATCTTGACAGTTGTGGCATTGAGGTGGGCCTCTTTTTTTGATGTGTGGTTTCTCGATAGAAACTTTTGTATTGAGAAGCGAAGAGATGCCCAGAATGTCGTTGTTATTGTCTTGAGGTTTAACCTCTACAAAGAATAGAGAAAGGGGCTTTTATCTTTGTTTTTGGCGTTGTGAACATATTTGACGCTATGACCTAATTCGGCCAACGCGTTAATTATATCGGGCACTAACGTGGAGTGGTGCAGGTTTCTAATGACACATCTGTAGGTGCGGAGGTGACGGGGGGTGTATGTGTGGAAACTGGAATCAGTTTCGTGTAAATGTTTCAAGATACTATTATAGTATATGCGGATAAGTGGTTGTACCTTAAGGTATGATGAAGACGCCCTGCAGGTGAAACCATTCGGGTTGGTGATGTCGATCAAGTCGGATTTGAAGGCGGAGAAGTCCACTATGTTTTTAACGAAGATAGGTGGAATCGGAGGATCCCTGACGTGATCAGTGTGAGGTTGGCTCACTAAAAGAACATCCGTCGGATTGGATGAGGACGTGGCAGCAGCTGATTTGTCGGTGGAGTCGTTTGTGGCAAGTACGGCGAAACGATTTGGTGAAGTAAAAACTTTCGATTTTTTGTCGGCTAGATTCGGCGAAAGCGACGAATTAGACAAATGTCTCTGTTTGTGCAACACCACCGTTGCTCCGCTGGACATCGCGTCGGGTGTCGAACATTCGCGAAGTTGACCCCCCGACCTCCTCCACCACCCTGGATCGCGCCGCGTCGCGCTTCCAGCCGCGGGCTATCGCCGCAAAACTAGTTCTCTCTCGTACGCCCGTCCGTGCTTGGCCGGTCGTGTGTTTCGTTTTGTGTTTTTTCGTACCCGCGCCATATTTGACCGTTGTGTTGTGTTCGTCCCCGGATCCCTCCGGAGTACGCGTTTTCTTTCGTTTTACACGCTTACAACCGTTTACACGCCGTTGTGCATACGCGCGTGCTCTCGCATCGTGTTTTAGTCTGTGCTCGGCCGTTTCGACCACGTTTGTGTCAACGCGCCATTCCGGTCCTGTGGTCAGTACCGTCGATTCCGAAAGCCATTCACCGTACGTGTGACTAACCATCGACCGCGTTCTTATTATACTTTTCTCGATTTTCGCGTGGTTGAGTGCGTATTTGCATCCCCGTTCGCCGGTCCCTAGTGGTTCGTGATCGGCCGATTTTGTGTTGTCACGTGGTTTCCCACTGTGCCCGGTTCCCTGCTGTATGCCGTTACGCCGCGCTCTCCGCATCAGGCAAGTGTGCCAATTCGGTTATCGCCGGTGCGTCGATCAACTCACCAGCCGCCGCCGTTGCTGTCCGTTGGTACCAGTGTCGTCGTGTCCAGGAGTCAGTTGGTATCAGTCCTTATCATCATCTTCGTCGTGCAGATAAGACCAACCTTGTTATTGTTTATATATTATTTTGTACATCGCCATTCCCAAATCGTAGGTTTTTTTGTAAGATATGATCATATCCCCCTGTGTATCATACTACCTACTGTTTATTATATGTGTCGACAATAATAAGTTGATTCGTGCCACCAGCGCACACCATTCAACCTGTGTACGTCTCATTTTATTTTTGTTTATGATTAGTCTCACAATTAAGGTTACCTACTCCTAGTCACACACAGGTTACTAGATATTCTTACCCGTCGCAAGTGTCGTACGGCCAGCTAGCGAGAGGACGTCAATAGCTCCGTCCGGTGCGCATACAGTCTCTTAGACGGATTGGGTGTGCGTGACGGAACGGGGCCCGCATTACGGGTGCCTTTATTCATAATAATCTAATACTATAAATATTTTAGTAAAAGAAGATAATTAATGATGACAAAAATAATAAACATAATTAGCGAGGTCGCACAGCGATAACGGAGCGAAACAACGGACAACGCGGCGTACGTGCATTCATGCTGAGCGTTGCGGCCGAACTAGATATAATGTTTATACATAGATACTAGTACATCGTAATAATTTTAAATTCAAACTTTTACCTATAGGTATACTATAAATGCTACTTTCTGGTAAACTTAAGGTAGCAAAATGTTTTCGTTATCTTCTATTAACATTTCTAATGTTAGCTATGAAAGGAAATACATTAATGAATTTCTAAATGAAAAATGTTTTGTTAAAATTTGAAATTTAAATGCATTATACAAATAATCATGCATATATGTATCTTTAATATTTTTGAAAGTTACATTAATAAAACTTGAATTAAGAAACCTTGGATTATATTTTCAAGATTATATTAATCATATACTT